CCTACATGAGAAGGACAGACACATCAGGCCCTACATGAGAAGGACAGACACACCAGGCCCTACATGAGAAGGACAGACACACCAGGCCCTACGTGAGAAGGACAGACACATCAGGTCCTACATGAGAAGGACAGACACATCAGGTCCTACGTGACAAGGACAGACACATCAGGCTCAAATACACATACTTTAGGGCTGTCAGTGCATTTTAATTACAAGGGAGAAAAGTCACTAAAAAATTCCTTGGATTTTAGAAGTAAGCCAGATAACTTTTCTGGCATAAACTCAACTCTAATACACATCAACTTTTTTTTTCTTTTCTTTTTTTTTTGAGACAGAGTCTCACTATGTGGCCCTTGGTAGAGTGCCATGGCATCACAGCTCACAGCAAACTCCAGCTCCTAGGCTTAAGTGATTCTCCTGCCTCAGAAGAATCTCAGAAGATTCTCCTGCCTCCCCTGGGGAAGCTGGGACTACAGGTGCCCGCCACAATGCCCAGCTATTTTTTGTTGCAGTTACCACAGCTGTTTTAGCTGGCCGGGCCAGGTTTGTACCTGCCACCCTCGGTGTATGGGGTTGGGACCCTACCCACTGAGCCACAGGTGCCACATCAACTTTTTTTAATAATGAAAAAGATGATTCAGTATATTATTTTTTAATATAAAACATTTCCAAGCTCTTTTACAAAAAAATTTACAGAGAAAAATAGCCCCAAGTCCCTATTCTTAAAGATTAAAGCAGGAAGTGAGAGCACTACTGAAATACTGATTGTCTCACCAGCCATCAGAACTACAACTTGCCTCAAGACATAGATTCATGATCTGTCAGTGTTTGCAGACAAGGTAATAGAAAGCTCAACTGTTTCAACTCAATGAGAGAGAATGAATGAATTGAATGAATCTATTCAGTGGCTGAAATACCAGATGGAGTTTGAGTTTTATTAAGTGAAGGTCCAGTTAGAGGCAGGACTGAGAGGGGAACAGCAGGTAACTTGTAATACTGTCCTCTTCTTGAGAGTTACGTCTCCAGAGCAGCTGCAAGGCTTATAAAAAATCAGAAATTGCCAAGGAAAGGCTTGCTCTCTGGTCCCATGTATTTTAATGCCAAATAAGTAGGCAACCGTCCAAAATTCTCTGATGAAGATAATATTCTTCTGCTTATTCTTTCCTCAAAACTAGAGATAAATGTCATGCCTTTCAACTGGGCTAATAACATTCACCACTGGGGTCCCATGTCCCCTTCCTCTCACCATCCTCAAGATACAGAATGGCATTTCAGGACATTGACCAAGACTGGGCAGAACTGAGGTAACAGAGAACAGAAGACAGAGAGACAGACAGACCAAGAGAGAGAGAAGAAGGGAGGGAAAGAGAAAGATTCTTGGACATAAATTTCTAAAGAAGCATTATTCGCAACCACTAAGTCACTTCTTATTCACACACAGACATCATTTCAAACCACTTGACAGACTTCCATTTGCATTTAAATGGCCAGTGTAAAGCTCAGGGACGCCAGGAATTACTGGAATTGCACATATGACACAAGAAAAGGCGGAGTCTCACAGCCTACCTTCTCTCCCACTCTCTTTCATCTTCTCATCCTGCTCTATGAGCCACTTGAGAACCAGATGTCCTGCAGGATGCTCTGCCACGTGAAGCTGCAAAGGTCAAAACACCTTCACTTTAAGTGCCGTTTTCTTCCAAGCAAACACATCACATCTGAATGAACCCATACAATTTATTCTATACCACCACCCACAGGTAAGAACTCAGCCTGCCTTAAGGGGTCTCTAGAATGGCCATCATACAAGGAGGGACAGAGATCTACTCCACTCCCCAGAAAGGAAGATGGGCATTGCCAGATGACTTGGCTACCGCAAAGCAGGTCAGACTGAGCTTCCCGAGTTCTACTGCTACAATGCGCACCTTATAGGCACATTAACTGCCTTTTAGATTTTAATACGCAGTTCTCAGGTACAAATAAATCTACAGGACAAAAGACTACAGCAGAAACACTGAGACCCAATGTTGAATGTTGTTCAAGTTCCCTAAGTGAAAGTACCTAATAAGCAGGCCAGGAGAGCACCTGCAGCTCAGCCTTACTTCTTTCCAAGGGCCACCCAGATGCTTCCCATAGTACCCAGGGCCTCTTCTTATTCAGTATGTGACATGAAGGCTCAATCTCTTGCCAGAGAAAACGTCACTATAGAGAGCCTCCTCCTTCCCATTTGTCAGTGTGATCTGCTCTGTGAGGGCATGGCCAGGGCTCTCCGAAACCCACGGCCCATTTCGCTTTCCTAATCCTAACAGAAGCACCTTAGCATCAATTTTATTCATAACCAAATACATGTTCGTACAAAACATTTCCAAATGCCAGACTTTGACCCAGATGGTTAGAGAATTAAAGACGAATACAATGTAACTGCTCTTGTGGAAAAGGTTCTTGGTTGTTTACTCAACAGACATCTCTCTCTCCAGTCTTCTTCCCCGCTAACACCCCACCGCCTCCACCCACATTTTCTGAAAGTCCCTTCCCAACCTCAACCAGGCCCAGTCATCGCTCTGCCAGAGATTGGTTTAGAAGTGTTTATGTGACTCATTTTCCCCCAATAACATGCCAGGGAGGCCTGTGTGGAGGTTTACTTCCCACTGCCAGGAGGAAAAGCCTTCTTGCTCTTTCCTCCCTGCTTGGGATTCTGATGCAGGGCTGGGCTGAGGCTGTGCAAGCCAGCTTGTAACCGGAATGCACCAAGAGCCACAAAGATAGAAGCCTGGGTGGTGACGTGGCTAGAGCTGTGCAGCACTATTTTCTTACTGTGGTAAATAAGCACCTAACTGCTACCACGGGGCATTCTATTATTTGTAGCAAAACTACTGCCCATGGCACTAGTCCGAAGTTCGATTGGGACTAAAATTCAGATGTTGTCATTCACTTCCCAAGGCATCCTGACCGTGCCTCGTGGTGACAATTACTTTGTACTCTAATTGCTTGGATGTGTCTCTTCAATGGATCTTAACCTCTTTAAGGGCAGGGGCCTGCCATTTTATCTTTGAATATCTCTGTAAACATTCAGTATAGACTTATTGTATTTTTGATTAATGGACAAAAGGCATGGAATTTGAATAAATTATTACATATCTCCAAGCTAGACACTCAAGATGACAAGGAAGGGTGCTGTGAGAATTAAGGGAAAGCAGAGGTCACCGTCGCACGTGTCTGTTGGTCAGGAGTTTACAACTTAGTGCAAGACCAAGGCCCTGTATCATCTGGCTGCAGTGTTCCCCTTCCCTGGGCTGATTTCCAGCCCCTACCCCGACACCAGCCTCAAGCCTTCTGTTCTGACATGCCTGGCTCCTTCCTTCCTTCCTGAGGCCCACCGTGCAACCTGTTCTTTCTGCCTAGAACTTTTTACCATTCTTTACTGAGCTACTGATCCTTCCGGTTTCGCTGAGTTTCCACTGCTGCCGGGAAGTCTTTGTAGGGGGAGGATGGCTCTTATGCAGTTCTGTATGGGTAGAACTGTAGTTTTCTTTCTTAGCTCTCATTTCAATACTAACTTAAATAATTACTTGTGAAACTTTTTTTTTTTTGAGATAGATTCTTACTCTGTTGCCTTAAGTAGAGTTCCATGGCATAACAGCTCCCAGCAACCTCAAACCTTTCAGATCAAGTGATCCTCCTGCCTTATCCCCCTAAATGCCTAGCTAACTTTCCTATTTTTAGTAGAGATGGGGTCTTGCTCTTGCTCAGGGTGGTCTTGACCTGAGCTCAAGCAATCTACCTGCCTCAGCCTCCCAAAGTACTAGGATTGTGGGGCACTAGTCATCACATCAGGGTGATGAAACTTATTTATTTAAATATTCTGTTTCCCAGAATTAGGTAAGCTTTCGGGAGGGCAGTATTGGTCACTGTCTAGTATAAGTCAGGTGTGGGAGTCAGTGAACTAAAGATGCAAGGCAGAATAGTGAGGTCTGAATAACACGGGCAGGACTATCAGAAAAAGTGAGTGTTTTCCAATGAGGGCAATAGGAAAGTGGTCTGGGGACCCTGGATGAGTAAGGCCTGGGGAAATGGAGCAATGGGGCAGGCAGCTAGGCTAGGGGAAGAAACACCCACAGCACATTGGGAATGAAAACAGGAACACAGGATATGCTGAAAAGGCAGTCTGGGGCCAACACAGATCACAGAGAACCACGCCAAGGGGATTTGTGCTTTTTCTCTATAGGTACGATGATGGAGCAGGTTTCTGAAACAGACAAGGGTTGTAAGGGCACTGCACTATGAATTCACATTTTCAAATCTATTGCTGGTATGAGGCGAGTTGAGATAATCATTGTTAAAGTCTCTTCACAGTGATTGGAGTTTCTGCCACCCCTGCAGCTTTCCTGCCTGTCCCACAACAGCACATTACCTCTCCATCCTTGCCACCAGGATGCAGTTCTGTCGCTGCCAAGCTGGCGATGGCATTCATGGCAGGCTGAACGTCTCCAGCAGCAGATCCCAGAATGCTGGACACCAACACACACACAGACTTGTCCAGAACCATCTCCTGGGCGTGCTCTTGCAGGTAGGTTAGCAAAGCTGGAGAAATGGATTCCAAGAGCTCCCGTCGGCGGATCTCTGTGTCTTTCTTACTGTTGGAACACGTTGCATGAAGTATTAACATAAGATAAAATGGCAAAGGAAATATGGTGATCTTATTGTCAGGGAAACCTAGAAGAGTCTATCACAGTCTGTGTCACACTGCATTGTGTTTGCCTCTTTCTGCTGAACACATGGACAGTGAGAGATCAAGGGTGTATTCAATCTGCTTTTCATCTTTGTGTCACCAACATCTGAATAGCACCTGGCCCAGAGCAAGCACTCACTAAAGGAGGCTTGGCTACGTAATACAAAAAATAAAACCAAAAAAAAAACATCAATCCAAAAACCAAACAACAAAATATCCCTCAAGACAACACACTGAAACTTCAGTATGGATTACTCTCTAGGATACTTTCAAAATCTCTAGGATAGCTTTCAAATTCAAGTAAAACAAACAAAACTCAAACCCCATACCTGAGTGCCTACTATATATTAAATGCTCAGGGGTGTTCTTCTGGCATGACACTTTTATTTCCTTTTCAAGACAAAAATTTTAAGAATCTATCAAAACTAGGCTTAAAAATGGAATTCACCTCTTGAGAGGTCTAGAGAGAGGGCATGGAGGTCTGAGCAGATTTCTGGAAGCACGTGCTGCTCTCTACTTGTGACCACTCCAAGCAGAGGAATAAAGGAGTCAAGCTGTCTACTTGCTTTTACCTGTGTGCATTTCCATCTCCCTTTTGTAGAACTTCAATGATTTCTCGCACTGTATGTGCAGGATCTCTGGGGCTTAGCAAATACAATAGGACCTTCCTTCCATATTTATCATTTACTATGTTAGGCAAGGAACTGATGATTTCCTGCAAAATTAAAAACAACAACAAAAAGAAATTGACATCTATATTCTTTTCTTTCTTTTTTTTTTTTGAGAGAGAGTCCCACTTTGTTACCCTCAGTAGAGTGCCATGGTGTCATAGTTCACAGTAACCTCTAACACTTGGGTTCACGTGATCTTGCTTCAGCCTCCTGAGCAGCTGGGACTACAGGCACCCACCAAATGCCTCGCTTTTTTTTTTTCTGGGTGTCAAATGATCCTTTATTTTCCTTTGTACTTTTTAACTAGCTGGGCATTCCACAGCACCACTGTTGATGTCATCTATGATGTCGTGAGGATGGCGGCCATCCCCAGGATCTCTTTAATGGTTCCAGAGAGTTCTCTGGCTAAAGATCTGTGCGGCATCTGTCTGGCAGTGTTGACAATCTCATTGAAAGTGATATTTCCATTGTATTTAATGTTTTTCTGTTTCTTTCTGTCTCTCAGCGGTTCCTTGAGGGCTTTGATGATGAGGGTAGAGGCAGAAGGTACCACTTCAATCTGGGCCTGCCTGTTCTGGATAGTCAGTTTCACTGTAATCCTCAGACCCTTTCAGTCACCGGTTGCCTTGGCAATGTCATCACCAACCTTTTTTGGAGACAAACCCAGGAGGCTGATCTTGGGGGCCAGGGCAGACATGGCACCAACTTTGCCACCGCACAATCTCCTTGGGGTTGAACTTAGGCAGCATGGTGGAGGTGGCTGGTGTTGGATGAACCCAATTCAGGATGACTGAAGAAAGTTGCAGCTTGGCCTTCTCTGAGCTGAAAGGTGAAAAAAAGCTCGCCTGGCTATTTTTAGAGACGGGGTCTTGCTCTTGCTTAGGCTGGTCTGGAACTCCTAAGCTCAGGCAGTCCACCCACCTTGGCCTCCCAGAATACTAGGATTACAGGTATAAGCCACTGCTCCCAGCTCAACATCTATATTCTTAAAATAAATGTATGGCTAAGATTTAAATAGTAAAGAAGAATATATATTTAATTATTTTCTCTAGTATACTTAATGGACAATGTGGAGCTAGTTCTGAAATTTTCTCAATAAAGTACAAGGAGATTTATACTTAGAACACAGAATCGATTCTCTACTGTGACTAGCATTACTGAACAACCCATTTACATTAATTAATTAAGCCAATGACTTAAAAAATATTTAAAGGAGGTATCTTTATTCATTACAACCAGTATTTCTTGGGCCACTATTATCAGGGACATTGCTTGCTGAGGTCACTGAGTGAATACAGCTAATTTGCAGTTGCACTTAAATGTAGCTTCAGCAAGGATGAAGAACATTCCTATTAGGATTTCCCTGCTGAGATGTAAGTGGAAGGAGATAAAGAAAGTCTGTTAAGTAGAACAAGTAGATAAAGGCTTTTAAAGTTAAGTTGCTTATTTATGGCAAATGAAAGCTGTTTAACTATTATAATGAAAAACAAAAAAGAGGAAGACAGATAAACAAACTCAGAAAGACTCCACTGAGTAGTTCCAAATTATTCTGTATCAACACACACCCAAGAACTGTAATCTCCTTTCTCTAGTTATGTGAAATGTTATGTGACAAAAGCAGTGACTCCCTGCCCATCCCAACTGAGCTCCTGTGTACATTTGCTCACGTTTTCAAAGACAACACTACTTAAAAATTCCCTTACTTTTAATCACTATTTGAAAATTCCTTTACTTGTAATGGAAAATATGCAATACAAAAAAAACATCAGTTTGTCCCTCCCCCGCTTTACATTCCTATTTCTTGTAATAAACCTTATAAATATTCAAAAGCATGTTTGAGGACTACAGGTTCCTTAGAACTGGCTAGAGCCTCAGAGAGAATTCAGTCCAACTCTCACCAGGCTTAAGGCAAGGGAGAAGCATCTGCCAGAGGACATCAGTGTCAGCGGCAGGGCTTGCTGAGTTCTAGACCTCTGACTCCAAATCCAGTGTCTTTAAAGAAAACACACAACCTTGTCTTAAGGAATTGAGATACAGCCATATCTGTTCATCTTCAAAGGGTCAGTGAGTCATTTTAGTGTAAGCAATCAACCTAAAAATTAAGTCTGTCATCGACCATGGGATTGCAATGTAGCAAACTTCACGATCCCATGGTTCGACCCCAGAATCCACATACCACATTCCTCTTTTGCTCCCCTCATCTTCTGCACACAAGCATCCTGTGCTGCTGTTAATTAGTAACAGTAGCTAACATGGTTAAGTGCTTACTGGGAGTCAGACACCTCTGAGACTGCACATCTATCATCTTAAATAATCTTCACACAACCCTGTCCAGATTCTAGGACTCTAATCCCCACTTCCCTAACTACTTCTGAAGAAGTTTAAGGTCACCTTATAAAGATTTCTACATAAAACATAAAAGTTTTCAGAGAACAGCTTCAACAGATATAACCACCTCAAAATGTATATGTAATTTCACCTACTTAGGGAAAATGAACTTAAAATTCCAGTAATGAAAGACACCCCCCCCACACACACACACAATGTAGAGAGTAGGAAGCATTTTTGAAATTTCAAAGTCAACAAGTACAAAAGTGGACTCAATATATATTTTTGAGAATGAAGTGTTCAGTGCCCCAAATACAGAGCACGTATGCTTAGTGTGCCTATCCCTGTGCCTTTATATACCAGCGTCAACCAACGCATAAAAGAGGACAAATGCTTAAACCCGAGTATGCTGTATCATCTGGGCCCGTTAGTACAGTCTTACAAAGCCAATGAACTTTTGCTGTTTTTAAAAAAATGACTGGAATACAGTGAACTGAACTAATCTAACACTTACGGTTTGGGTAGAAATGATTTTATAACACAAGAAAGTGGGACTTCAAGATACACACAAAATCTGTATAATTACTAGTCATAGGATTAGGTCCCAAATTCACTGAACTTTACAGCCTTTTGGTTTGTAATGAAAGAATTTAGACTTTAAATTCATGTTTAATTAAGGGTTCTAAAAGAGTCTGCAGTGTTTGCAAACTTACCATCTCATGAAAACTAAAAAATGTTCACTTAAAATGTCATATTTAATTCTTCCCCAACACACCCTTATTCCAACTTTCCCCCACCACCAACGAACACACATCTTTGAAAAAACAGAGAAAACAGTATAGAAGTCTTGCTATTTTATGGGTATTAATCCATTTCTCTTTAACTTAGGTTACAAGAAACAGGGGAGAAAGTTCTAACTTATTGCCTGGAGAGTACCAACAATTCCAGTAACAGGTGTAACTCAGTAAGAGACAGCTACGGCATAGTTGACATGGTGCAGAATTTAGTCTTTGGAGCCCTAAGTTCAAGCTGTATAGCTTTGGGAAATTCTTTTAAAAACTTCTTTGTGTTACTTGTAAAAGAAAACAATACACTTGCCCAACCATGGGTAGTACCAAGAGCAAATCAGAAAGTCCTATGTTGCAAAATTTAAAATTGCTATAATTACTTCATATTAAAATTGCAGCTCTCAATATCAGCATCTTAATCACTGGAGATTAAATAAGTTGGCAGGCTCTAAGTTTCCACTCTCAAAAAAGAGAAAACACCAACAATGAAGGTGTAATTTCAATGGTTTTGGCTTGGCTCACCCCTTGCAAGAATTAACTTAGAGAAAAATCACAAGGTCCATTTGTTGTCATTTCTTCTTCTCAAGCTCTAAAGTAGGCATGTCAACAGAAGAAAGCACAGGAACAAAAGACCTCCCTTCTGAAGACATCTCTGGCTAATTCTGACCTCCTTGGGTTGAACTCTTGCCAGATTCCTTGGCACTCTTATGTTGCCAACCTTCTTTTAAAGAGGAAGGGTAAAGGTCAAAATGAAGGGTGCCCACAGGAAGCACATGCTAGGTGGAGACAGAAATGCAAAAATCAACACATTACTGAGAACTGAGCCTGTGGGGTACACACTCTTTGGTAGTTTGTTGTAGGGAAAATAAATAAATAAATAAATAAATGCAGTCTACTTTAACCAGAGGGGCTCAAATCTAGCAGAAGAAGCAAGAAAGTTAATGAAAAATTAAAAATGAAAATAAGAGAATTGAATAATGACTAACAAAAGTGCCAAGGGAAAGTTAGATCACCAGGAGGCCTCTTGAAAGTTCTCTTCTGAAAACAGGGTGATTTTATCCGAAAGTCCATCTTTTGGGCTGTGCTCAGAAAATGGGAAGGTCTAGTTTAATGAGTTTCAGATTTCCAAGATAAAAAAGGGTACTAGGGACAATTTGCAAAACAACGTATATGTAAAATGACTAAGACAGTAAATCTTAATGTATTTTCTACTTCGATTAAAAAGAAAAAAACTGGAAGGTCTATCAGCCTAGAGCTAACAAGGCCAGAGGCTAGAGCTGACAGGTGGCCACCACCCCAGACAGGACATTCTCTCTCTCCATTCCCCACAGTCCCACCAAACCTTCTGGTCTTACCTAACCCGGGCACTGTTTTACCTGTCAGGTCAATGTTAGTTTTAATTTAAGTTTATGAGCCCTCAGATTAATTAACTGCTAAAGGAAAGACAAAGACTGTGATAGCTGAAAGGATGGGGAGAATAATCTGGCTGGAAGGTCAGAGAACAAACACTATCTGATGACGGACTGAAACTTGGTCTTAAGAGAAAGCAAGGAGTGACTATCAGGCTATGATTTCAACCTGACATTTCGGGAAATCCAGTTGCTCCGAATAGAACACTTAGCAACACTAAGCCTTCTTGGCTATTTTTAAAAGCACTGTATAATGCAAGAGGTTTATAGTGGCTGGGTAGACATACGGACACATGACTCTATATAAATATATGTACATCATATTTGGCAACCAGCAATTCTAGCATATAATTGAAATTTAATTCTGCTGTAGTAGAGAAACTTAACATGTGCCCAAGGAGGCATATTAAAAAAATGTTCACCGAATTATTTACAATAGCAAAAATTAGTAAGAATAAAACATAGTTTTTTAAAATGATAAACAACCTAAATCTATCCCCAGGAAAATATAAGAATAAGTTGCAGCATATTCACATGTAGGAGAATACTATTTGGGAGTGAAAAATAAATGATTGCGAATACAGAGCGCAAACTATGGCCATGGATCAAAACCAGCCTGTAGCCTGTTCTTGTACATCCTGTAAGCTGTGAATAGTTTTTACATCTCAAAGGGCTGCTAAAAAACAAAAACAAGACAGACAAGAATGTGTGGTAACATACATGGCTTTTGAAGAAAGAGTCATAACTTCCTGGTCTTTTAGAAGGCTTGCTGACCTCTGCTGATGGAGCCCACTGACAGAAGGAAACAGCAAGTAGCAGAAGAATACACACAAGACGTCACACACAGACAGCTTATATACATAAAATAAAGTTATCTACAACACATACAGTGAAAAGATAAGGAAACACAGATGGAGAATTATAAATCTATCACAGTAGCTCTGGGGCAGGGCTAGGTACACAAAGGGCTTCAACTTGAACTGGACTGATCACGTTTTATTCCTTTCTGTCAGATGGTGGGAGGCTGGGTGTTCACTGTACTATTATACGCCTTTCTATATATTTTAAAGATAACACATTTAAAATATGCATCAATATTTATTCACCCTCTCACAGCACTTGGCTAGTGGATTTATTTCCTTTCCCACGAACACTGCTGTCAAACCAGCTGTATCCTACAGATCACTTCAAGGGAAACCGGGCTCAGATTTTATAAGTATGTTTATTTTGGAAAGTAAAGGGGGTGGATACATAAACTCAACTCACCTACTTCATGTATCCATTTTGAAAGGTGAAGGGCTCAGCTGACTAGGACTGCGATCAACCTGACATTTTGGAAAGTCTGGGTGCCCTCAACAGGATACTTAACACCAGGCTTCCTTGGTTCTTTTTAAAAAACACTGTGCACTGGGACAGGTTTTGTGGTAGATGGGTGAGAAAAATGCAAGAGCAGTTAGCATTCCAGAATTTTATCACCAGCTACAGAGTTTAATGACACAGAGAACCTGTTGAGCACTCGTCAGTGAGAGAGAGATCAGCAGATGAGGCCTTTCAGGGAAAGCTGCCCTGAGTACAAGAAAGTCATTAGGAATGTGGGTTAAACAGTTGTGAGAATCAAGCTGATAAGCGCCAGGAATTTAAACAGTTTCACCAGCAGTGTGAAGTGGGCTACATTTTTGGAAAAAGAAAATTCATCTAACAGACAATTCTGTCAACTCCTGAAGAAGTCTGGTTTCTCTCGAAATCTATTTGAAACAGTTATGCAAATGTGAGTTGTCATGAAAATACTGAACAAAAGCAAACTTTCAATATCCCAGCCTGTTTCCATTTTTGTGAAACAACTTTATTCATTAGCCAATTCTATGGCCTCACATCTCTGTCACAGGAATGAAAAACAATCATTATTGATTGGAGTCAAAAGGGTAATAAAGTCACAAGGAACATGTCAACATACTCAGTTTGTGACATGAAAGTCTTGCCAACTTGTTTCTTCCCACAATCCCATCCCAAAGAAAGTCACCACAATCTTAAAATAGTCAAGGGTAGAGTGGAAAATGACAGCAAGGGCATGAGAAATTCACACAGAGTGGGACCTACAGCTGGCATCTAAGAAAACAGATCTTTCCCTCCACAGAGCTGATAGACGATTTCTATTAACACCCTCTTCTACGGGTCCAGAGAGGCTACAGCACCACCACCTGACAAGAGGTACATTCCTTTCTGAATCACCTGTATCCTTTCTCTCTCTCTCTAGTGCAAAAGTACCACTTGTCATCACCAAGATTTCTCCAGAGGCCCCATGTGTATCAAACAGAAAGGCCTGTGTAATTTTGAGACGAATAACCCATGTCTATAAGATTATGGGATCACTGCTACCAATGTTGCATTTTCTTCTCCCCACCCCACAAAATCTCTACCATATATCTAATAGCACCTGTACACTAAAAATAAAGGAAGGGAAGAGAAAAGGACCACAGAATCAGAAGAAGAGGCTATCACTGCAGGATGAAGGAAACAGAAATAGTTTAGAGGGCAATATTTACTATGAAGTAGTTTCTCTAAGAGGACAGCTCAGTTTTTCTAAAGGCCAAGTTTAAGAATATTCAAGTATTACCACTTTACAGTAATGACACTGGCCTAGGAGAAACTGTAGCCTGAAATGTAAAAAGACAGCTAGAATTTTAATTTTAGTAATAACTTTTATTCTGACTCTACAAAAGCTCTAAAAAAGCACTACAATTCAGTCTTGAAGAAAACTCAGAGGTTTTCTTTTCCATCAGCTCAACTCAGAACAGATTCATGGATAAACTAGGTAACTGTACAGCTTCTCTGTATGGAAAAAAAGAGTTAAAAAGGCCATGGCTACCCTCTGTCTGTATGAGTTCTAGATTTACTGAGGAATTATACTGTTAACCAGTTTCTCGTCATATCTAAGTATTACTTTCCTAATGTTTCATATTTTAGAATCATGCATGGTCTAAAAAGCCACGTTGACCCTAATTCAAAATAAAAGTGTTAAGTCTTAATTTAACCATAGTGTTTCAAAATAATTAAACAGTATTAATATCAAGTTACAAGGTTATGATTTATACAGGTAAAATGCAAACCTCCAAAATAAGACTTAACTGATAACTAAAAAATAACAGAAAGTAACAGCGGAAAGCACAGATGAAAGTCTTTACGCATGCATGTATGAAAGTAAATGCAAACCTAGAATGAGTCTATCAACGTAATTTAAATTCAAGACCCGCAGAATTACTTACTGATATGATTATTTGCTTCACAAGCTTGGTGTCATCAATGCAATCAAATGCCGCCAGTAAAACCAAATGGGAGTATTGGCCCTGCAAGAATTAGAAGCCCGTAAGTGTTAAAAAAAAAAAAAAAGCACAGACTTCCACTCTTATTTCACCCAAGCTTTCCCTTTACTAATGTTGTCAACACAGACACTTGCCTGACATGAGGAAGATGAATGAAAGCTATTCAAATGGGCTTCCACTCTTATCACGACCTAGTTAATTATATTCTAGAGGTACGTTTGATTAAAAAAAAAGAAACAGAAAAGCACATTCTTCATTACTACACAGACCAAGACTAACCAGGATATAACACCTGTTTAAATAGACCTGTTAATGAATAGCAGGAAAGTTCAAGTTATAAGATTAAAGGGAAAAAAAACGCCATGTATATTTTTTCCATATATAGTATATATATTCACATATCAAATATTCTAATCATGAAAAAGAAAATATATAAGTTCAGATACAATTTTTTTTTTTTTTTTTTTTTTTTTTGCTGTTTTTGGCCGGGGCTGGGTTTGAACCCACCACCTCCGACATATGGGGCCAGCGCCTTACTCCTTTGAGCTACAGGCGCTGCCCCAGATATAATTTTATGTACATACTCTACATATATATTTAAAGTATGTATATAAAGAAAATCCTGGAAGGCTAAACAATGTTATAGTCATCTATGGATTCAAGAATTACAAATGATTTTTCATTTTCTTTTGTATCTGTCCAATTTCTTAAAGATGATCCTAAACAATTAGACTACAAATACTGAAAAAATAAACTAGAAGAGTGTAATTCTGTACTGAATATGAGAATAAGAGAAAATACATTGTTTTAGAACACAGAAGCACAAGATCTTATAAATACACCGTGGTTTTCACAACAGTCACCCCTTGAAATAATATAATTATTTATATGATGCCAATACTGTTATAAACATTTAAAGAACCCTAATTTATATTAAAAACAAAAATTTATTTTCAGAGCTTGTGGAATTTGGGGACGGGGGGAATGTATACTGGATGATGATATAAATGTCTATTTTTAAGTTTTGATGAAGATGTGATATTTGATGATAGTGCACATTCGTTCAGAGCCAAGTCTGATGTATATAATATATTGGTAATAACTGCTAATTTAAGGTCAAAGAGACAAAAAGAACAAAGAGAAAAAAACAACAAAAAAAGGTCTAACATCCTTATTATATAAAGAAGAAAAATCAAAGTCAGAAAAGAATATGAAAAGTCAGTTCACAGAAAAGAGAATATACATGGCTTTAAATGAAATAATTAGGGATAATAATTAAAACAAAAAAATACCATTTTCCACCTATCCTATAGGCAATGGTGAAAACCTTTGACATAGACAAATTCATCGAAGATTTGAGGAAAAGAAGGCACATTTTCATGTAGGCAAGAATGTAAAATGGTTCAACTTCTTTGGAGAACAACTGACAATATCTATAAAAATTAAAGTGCATGCATGATCTGATCCAGCAATTCTTGTTCTAAAGATTTGTCCTACAGACATGCTTCCATGTTAAATACAAAGACTTAGGCATAAGGATATTCACTGGAGTACTACTTACAATTAAAAAAAAAAAAATCTAGAAACTACCCAAGTGTCCAAGAGCAGGGCCTGGTTACATGGATTTTGGTATAGTCAAACAGTGACATATTATCAAGTCACCAAGGAGAGTGCGGTAGACAGAGGTGTGTATATTGAAATGAAACGACCCCTACCCTGAATTAAGGAAACAAAATGGAGAATATGCACAGTGCAAAACCACTGGTTTCAGTTTTCTTAAATCATCTGCAAGCAAAATCAAGTGCAAAATATCTCTGGATGAATATAACAGAAGCTGATACAGAATTGAATTTGAACAAGAAATAGACAATTCCATAAGTGTATTTGGAAATTTTAACATGTTTCTCTCAGCAAATGATGATCTGAATGCTATCAACCACTTTGATCATTATAACTGATATTTATAGAATTTGTAGAACAATACACCAACAACTCCACAATATATAGGGTGGCCACAATATAATGGTGTAATTTAAAATTGCATATGAACTTTATGGCTATCCTGTATTCTTTTCAAGATAGTATATGTGTAGGGCCATAAAATAAGTCTCAGTACATTTAACAGTCAAGTATCAATAGGGCACTTAGGGACAAGTGAAAACAAAAGGTCTCTGACCACCCCCGATTTGGCATGTAACTGCTAAATGGACTGAAATTATACGCGGTATAGCAAGAGACTATGAATATTTGGAAACTGAATACTTCTAGATCAAATCCATACGTCAAGTTTATCTCCCTCCTTTAGAAATAACTCTTAGAGATTAAAAAAGATATTATTAATTTCTTTTTCTATCACAATGCCACCCAGGGATTAGGATCTCAAAAAAGTACTGCTGAATTACCTGGCATAACCAAATTGTAAAATTAAAACAATCTAATTTTATTAGTAAAAAATGTCTATTAATATGTTTTCAAATGTTCTATTAATACTCTATTCTTACTCATTTTTAATATAAAGTATTCAAATTAAGATGTCATGTATAAAAATGTACTTAATGATGAATTATGGGTCATAAAATAATCTCATACTCTGGAAACAACTCATTAGAGAATCCCATATTTCACTCTGTTACAGGAAAGTTAGCTGCCTTCTAAATGGCTTTATATTAACTCTTCAAATCGCGGCCCTAGGGAAGACGACAGGTAAGTATACAATCACTCAGCACCAACTTTATCTTTGTTTGAATTAATACTTCCTATAAGTATAATAAGTAGTTCTCATTCTATTTTCCAGAGGACAAAGTAGTTGATCACTAAATAATTTTAATTCATCAATAAATCTGAAATTTATTAATGAACAAAGTTATCAGTGAAATATAAGATATAGCTCAAAAATTAAAATTATATTTATTACTATAAATTTTAGTTATAGAATTTCATAATAATACTCTGGAAAACTAATATCTATATACATATAAATATTATTTTTGAGGCAATTAATCCCATAGAAAAAACTTTATGGCCCCCTGTTTTTTCTGTGGGATTATAGAATATGCATAGTAATAAATATAAATTTAAGTTTTGAGCTGTATCTTATATTTCACTGATTTGTTCCCACCACTTTCATTACGAACCCTGTTATTGCATTGCTAAAGCGGCCAAAGAACTATAAAATTCAATAACTTGGATTTTCCATGACCATACTGCAAATTTATTCTACGAAGAGAGATATTTCAATTTCTGCTATGGTCTTGATGGTAATGGAAACTGGTTATCAAATTTCTAAAATATAATCTGACATTATTTACCTAGACTCATATATTTCATTATATATGAAAATACACATGCATAGAAAAAGATTATAATAAAACAAAATAATAAATTTCTTCTTGTAACGTTCTGAGTTTTCTAAATTTTCTATAATGGATATCGATTCATTTTCATATTAAAGATAATTAAATGAAATAAAGTAGTTTTGTCCTACTTACGTTAGCCACTTTTTCAACATAAGTCTTCATTGTTTTCATAATCACTTTCCTGTCCTAAAATAGAAAAATTTGTCTCGATGAACTTTTAGTTATATGTTAAGGGCATTTCATAGTTTAAAATGTTATGTAATATTACATTTTCATTTGAGTAGCATACTTTTCATTAATGAAAATAATAATCTTGTAGCCAGAATGAAAAAAAAACAAAAACCCTCTAATATACTATATAAGAAGTCTGAGTCTCAGAGCTATTATAACCTTGAATTTGTATATGACAATTCATTCAAACATAAATATGGAGCCATAGAATTGTAGGAAACCTAGAGAAACCACCTTATACAATGTGATCTGAGAGATCTACAAAGGTCTGAACTGTCTTCAAATGCACAGACTCAGCCAGATAGTTACTATTCATATTTATTTGTTGAATACAATTTGCGTTGAGAAAGTAGATATAATACAACTTGCCTTTTGAAGGCAAAATTATGCTGATCAAGGAAAGGATCATTTCTGCTAACCTCTGGGATTAATAGGGATCTTTACCTTTTCCCTCATAGTACTTAACACCCACAGGAGCAAATGTGTGACTGTCTGCGGTCTCCTCCTTCCTCCCCCTCCTTCAATATGATCATGAAATGAGAAATGACTGAGCCAGATAGGTACAAAAACCTCTGTACATACATATGTGTTTACCTGAGTGACAGAGCTCTTGCCATCCTTTACTGAAACTTTAGGATTTCTACTAACGTAGACAAGAAACACTAGGCCTTTAGCAGACAGCAAACTCCTGTGAGGTACAACTTTGAGAAGATAATGTTGTTCTTGCACAGGAGGGCAAACACCAAAGAAGACTAAAGATCTAATAACAGGCGTTAAGCCTGCAGACAAGGTGTGGCCCTGAAGGGCAGTGCCGCCAAACTTACCTTGGGTGTGCCGTGCCACAGGCAGTGCATGGCCACTCTGGCGCCATCGTGTGTGTGCGCCAGGTACACCACTGCTTCGCGGATGGCTTCAATCATTTCCTAGGGAACAAATCAAAGGCGGTCAGGGTTTTGCTTTATTTTCTTCTCTGGTTCTGCTGTGTTATCTGTCTACGGGCAGGGAGTGATCACAGAGAATGAAAGGAAGAGGGTGTAAGTAGCATCCAATTTAAGTTTTAATTCTGCAGACAAACAGAAACACAGCCTTTTTCTTGAAAGATTCTTTTCTATCAAGAGCAGTAAACAGATTTTTAGTAAAAAATCATTTAATTTCCTACAAAGGAGTGTACCTTAATTAAATCTTTAGTCTTCGTTTTCAATATATATCATTTCTTATTTACATTTGCAAAGCCTATGCACGCAGGCTGTAAATGAGTTCTAGCGGCTAACAGCTGTAGGGCCCCATTTTAGTCTATTCCCAACTTAAAAATTTATATTAAATAATAAATGTAAAGCTTCATACCAGGAAAAAGGGCAGGTATCAATTAGGTGCCAGTTTCAACAATAAAAAAGAAGCGATGTCACCCTCAAATATCGGACAATCCTTTCCCAAGCTGAATCTCTAGAACACAGCTTTCAACTTACATCCCTGGACTTAGGAACCTCTTCAAAGCTATCCAGTTAGAGACTTATACAGATATTCCAATTATGCTTTCATCATTCCCAAAGGTTTTTCTTTTTAAGTCTCTCTTTTGAAAATGTCCCCAGTGCCAGAAAAGATAATTTGGCTCATTACTTGACTAAGTCACCAAATTTTTTGCTGAAAATATTCAACACTTAAAAGATACTTTCTACCACTGAAATATTCAAATGATCACTTTATCGGTCTGAACATATAGCCCTCCCTCAGTGAAACCAGACCTGTGGGTTACTGGGTTCTACAGGAAATGAAGAGAAATCCTCAAAAGAGAAGATACTGTTATGGTCACTGAACCATAAGCTTAGGTGGGTGTCCACTCTTGGGATATTATATGTCAATTTCGAGGGGTTTGACATTCCAATCTATGTGTAATCTGGTGTATTTATTTAAGGAAGGCAAGACTTTACTCTTGCGATTAGAGAATGAGAACAAATGTCAATGAGTTTCCTTTTTGATGAGACTAGCAAAGTTCAGGAAACCAAATGATAGATACTCATTTGTATTCCTATCATTGACTTGAAGGGCACTGCAATTTACCTTCACTCTCTGTTCCTTCCCCTTCTATCATATAAAGACCAGGTTTTCATAGTCCATTTAGTTTACAGGAGTAACCTCCCCTAACCTTGTAATGTTTTTTTTTTTCTTTTTTTTTGCATTGGCACACCTAAATTTAAAGCCCCATGAATGTTCCTCCATGTGTTAGTTAATTTTCAGATTAGGTTAGCTAAAAGACACTCTATGGACTATAATTAAAATATATTTTAAAAAAATCAATGTAATTAGTAAAACTAGGGTTAATTCCATAATTTTCTGGAAAAAGCCTAAATGGGATTAGCAGACTTGCCCAAAGGAAATTCACTGAACTATCTCTTCTACATAAGAAAGCAACTCTCTAAAATTTCTGAAAGGTAATGGACTTCAAAGTAGCATTTCATGCTCTATTCTGTTCTTCTTCCATGCTTTGGTTTAAAAACAAAAACCAAGAACTTACTGATCTGAGTTTGGGGGGTGCATAGGTAAAAAAATCCAAGAATACTTTATGCACCAATGAGTGCTTAATCACAGCTTCCCTGAAAATAGAAAAACATAAAAAACACCACATCAGATCTGGCACTACAATCATACAGAGATAGGTATCTAAACAAGTGAAACAGTTCTACTGAATACAATTTGTCATAGATAAATTATATCTTTTAGCAATATTAAGATTAAAAAAATTAGGCTGTAAAATTGATTTAGCACCACTTACAACCAAGACCACAGTACTAATTTCTAATATCTAATCAGGAAAGATAAAGCTGCCTTTCAAATTAATGCTCCGCTCTCTCTCTTTTCTTCCCCAGCACTGGACACATGATTGTAAATCCACACGTGGATCTATTTTTTGTACAGCTGTTTTCTTTCTGTCATGTACCCTTCACAATGCATTGGATTCATAGAATAACTTTAGCAGAATTAAAGCCTGAATGGACCAAAACAGTGTTAGCGATTGCAATGATACCTACTTAAATCCAAGCCCTCTAGGGTCTAGAGTGAACTTGATGAATCCAGGTATATAGTAGAGGCTGGTGGTTAGGCTTCAAAGAACTAAAGATCCCATCAGGTATCCAAGTAGACAGTCGAAACTAACGCTGCATTTCTGAGTGTTTTGAAACTATGGAGCCATCTATTCTTCATAAAATTTTACAGTCTGTGCTATTATTAGCCCAATTTTACAAGGACAGAAAACTGAGGCACACACAGGTTAAGCTGTGAAAGGTTATACAGTAAATGACCGGGACAGAGGCACAAGCAGTCACACCCACGCAGTCTGGTCCCGGCAGCCATGCTCCCAACTGTTCCATTACAAATGCCAAGTAGCCACATGCATAGACTTCTAAGTCTTATATCCCACTTTAAATAACAGATTTAACATACATGGCTTCAACTTAACATTTTGTCTGGGGAAAGAATATTTCATGCTTATAAAAAGTGTATAAACCACAATTGTATGTTACCATTTTACAGGATATAACATCAGAAAAAGAGATCTCCTTTGGCACCAAGAATGGTTTCAAATAAGAAATGTTATATTCTTACTTAGGACAGATGAATAAAAGTAAGGAAAAAATAGCCACTTCTCTGGGCAAGGGTTATAGGTATAAAATGCTCTTGCTTCAAATGGCATTTGTTAAGGAAAAAAACGGAAACAGCTTTCTTACTTTTGGGCCATTGGAGTTAGAATCTGTTTCATTTCATCCATAATGAGCTCTAATTTTTCTGGCTGCACCTCTAATACTTTTTCCAGAGTTGAGTGATCTGCTGTCTGCAAAACAAACAAAGAAAATAATCAAACCCCTATAAATTTAATCTCTTCATGTCGGGAGAAAAGCAATCATAACCATTTTAAATAAGCTTAAATGAATTTAAGATTTCCTATATTTACATAACAAAGTCCCACTGTATATGTGCTCATGAAATAATTCCTTTATTAACTGATTCTCAATCTATACATTTACCAATGTATCTAAAGAGCTAAGCAAACACCAACCAAGTCAGCCAGACGAGTATTTGCTAATCGTAACACCAAGTTCAGAAATTCTTGCCACCATGCATTTTGTAATTCGTAAGAAGTATAGCAACAAGTTCAATTCAGGAACAGAACCTGACAAGTGGAGGTAACCCAGAAATCAATCTATATGCCTTCGGACAAATGTGTGCATTTGTGTCCCAGGGTTTAATCCTTTGACCGTTGTCGTCCCATTACTGGCCCTTGCAGAGTTAATCCCTGTATTCTACGCAAGGGTGAGTCTCTCTACTCTCTCTCTGGATACAATCTGGAGGAGAAAATGCACACACATGAAGAAATACTGAAGGTAGCCAGAGAAAGCCCAAGGCACCTCAGCCGGAGCCAGCTAGTGGGTGGTGACAAAGCTCTGCTAATTATTACGAGTTTTCCTCCTTAGTCTGACTGTAGAAAGGCAAGTATTGAAACATTACACGCAGACCGGGTGGGAGGGTGTAACAAAAGTAGTTTGATTCAAAGGGGATTTAGAGGCATTCATGGTGAGAATGAGAAGCCTAAGTATGACCACTTGCTCACTACAGCAGAGACAAAATAATCTGAGAGAACAAAGGGTCTAAGAGGGTCTCTTCAAGGACCAGTTAAAGTAAAGATTCTCAAATTGGGGCGCTGGAAGTGAAGGAAACACACATAGAAAAAGTGTTAAAAAAACTAGAGAAACACTTGTGGAAGTACCACCTTGTACAGCTGGAATGTGTTCCCGTAGAGCTCTTCCGTCAGCATGATCCTCTGCTCCAGAATGGCTTTGTCGTTGTACGCATACTCCACGATGGCCGAGGCTTCCGCATGCCGCAGCAGCTTCCTCACGTGGCCTTTAAAGCTTCGGATGATCTCTGCAATCTGTGGTTTACTTCTAAATCCAGCACAATTGTGGAAAAAATAAATGACAATAAGAAGTAACTTACTTCTCCCAAGGCCAACTCACCGATATGTGCATGGGGGGGTCTCCCACAGGGAATCACATCTGAGTAGGAAAACTGAACTGCCCTGTATTTCGACCTTTCAGCAGCCAGCCTGCCTGGGTTTGAAACTTGCCTCTGCTTACCAACTGAAAGACCCTGAGCAAGTTATTTAATCTTCATTTATCAAACAGACATAAGGGGGAAGTGCCGGTCGCTCAGAGGAGTAGGGCGCCAGCCCCTCAGAGGAGTAGGGCGCCAGCCCCATATGCCGGAGGTGGTGGGTTCAAACCCAGCCCCGGCCAAAAACTTCCAAGACAAAAAAAAAGAAAGAAACTAGACATAAGGTTGCTTTGATGACGAAATGAGCTAAGATGCATCAGGGACTATGGTCTGCACATAGTACATGCTCAATGAATGTCAGTTCCTATATGTTCAGCTTGACAAAAGATAGGGTAGGAAAAGGGAGAAAGGAAAAGATGCAGAGAAATAAGGAATCATATTCTAGGATTCTCTTTAAAAACAGAAATTAATCACAAGTATTTATCTATATCCTAAAAAAATGAAGCAGCTGATAATTATAGCCAGGAATATAAAGTAACAGAATTTGTATGCATGCCACATTTTTTGTTGATGGTTACATGTTCTGGTACATTATTATACTCAAGAAGATTGGTCAAGTACCAATTCTACCTCATTTAGGAAATACTTCCATCTTGATAGTTCCTAACCCCGGACCTTAGCTCAGTCTATTCACTCGTCCCTCCAGATCCTCTACCCTCCAAGCAGTGGTAACTAATGACAAGTTAATCATCCCATTTCTCTTCAATCACAGCCTCAAGATATGAATGGCAAAGGCAATACCATAATTTTACACTAATTCCAGTAATTGTTTTTAAGATGATACTCCCTTGAAACATCATAAACATCTGTTGAGGGCTATTACTATGACCACAGATTTTATAAGTAGCATGTCAGCACAGACAGAATCTGTGCCTCCAAAAAATAAAGAAAGATCTTTGACAATAAGACAACTTACCCATACATGAGAAATTTCTTAACAACATTTCTGGAATATTTGGCTTTACTTAATTCAACCAAATCATCTGAAAAACAAAAACACATTACAATGATTTGATATCTTCTTCTCAATTCTCCAGAAATAAAGGGAACAATTATATAAATGTATAATTCTAGGAATACAAATCAACTCTATTTCTCCCAAGTAAAGAAAACATAAAAACAAGAAAGGTCCCAGAGAAGACACATCTCAACAAAATTTCCTAGGACGGTCCTGGGTCAAGAGCAAACAAGTGACTTACAACAAATGATAACAAGTAATCTTCAATATCCAACACATACCTCGCAATTCTTCGAAGGCCTGTTTTCTCTGTTCTTCACTACCATACTGAATGTAACACTGGATCACGCGAGTTGAATCGTGTGCAAATGCAATCTGAAGGGAAGAGTTGGAGACTTTAGACTAACGATCTTCTGAAGAGTTATGCTTCTTACTGTTTGTGTTTTATTGCAACCTCTTTTAGAATTCCTTGTGAGAAAAATGGCAGACTCTCCGTGAATAAAATCAAACCTAGCCTACTTGGGAGTAGACATACTCGATTCAGTTGTACAGAGCATCACACTCTTTGGTCTAGCTGCCTATCATATTTAGTAAGGACAATTAATAAAGACACTGAGGCAGAGATAGGTTTACCTATTTCACAGAATTCCTACCTTTATAATTAAAGCCAAACCAAACCCAAACCATCTAATGAATATATGGACCACACTTCTCATTTCTCTGGAAGTTATCTTTCTGAAAAGAGAAGCATTCTACTTTTAAAAGTCTACTGTTCTATGATTGTAATATAAGTGATCTAAGAATATTTGGCAACTAAAGGTATAGATGGGTATGAGAAAAAGTCTTGCTACACAGAGTAGAACCTCCATAATTGCCCACCTCCCTACACTGACCGTCTCCTCAAGTTGACCTAATTTTCATAGACTGGACATGCATCACATGTACATATCAGTACAAGTAGGCCTAGTTCCTTATGTTGGCCACTTCCATATGTTGACCAACTTGTTACATTCCCTGGGGTGGTCAACTTACAGAGGGTCTACTGTATAATTATATATATACACATTGGTAGTGTATACATTATATGTTGATCACCTATTTCTCATATTTTCATTATAACCCCTATATTTATATGAAGTTGGACAATTAAGTTCACAAACCCATCCTAGACAAAGAGCTACACACTTCATTGCTGAGTATCACCATGGTCACCTTCAATGTCCTCCCCTTGGGAAGCTGTGCACTGACACCAGCGCCCAGTCTACCCTTCAAAGCAATTTTGAAATTCTTTTTCTGGAATGGCCATTAGAGCTGCCCTACAGGCTCCGACAATTAAGTTTGTGAACCTGCCACTTTGCGCTTATGTCACTAGCACTGTATGACAACTTGCGAAGGTTTCATATTGTTTGTGCATCAGTGTCTCAAGCTGTGTTGTGTCGATTTGTGGGGTGTCTTGCTGAGTGGTGTTCATTACTGCTGTGTGTTTGTGTGTCATACTGTGATAGCTCTGACAGTCATTCCAGAAAGAGTTCCAAAATTGCTGTGAAGGGTGAAGTGGGCGCTGGCATCAGTGCATAGGTTCCCAAGGGGGTACTATGCCGCCGACCATAGTGATACTCAGCGATGAGGTTATGTAGCACTGTTCCTAAGATGAGTTCGTGAACTTACTTGTCAGACCTCATACAGGGTGGCCATAAAGGTTGTGTGCTATTTTAAATTGCACACTATTTTTAACTGCAGAGAAACCTATGGCCACCCTGTATAACCAGTTATATTTCTAGAAGCGTTATTATGTTTCAAAGGTGATGCTTCAATCCATCTCCCTCCCTACTGGAAGGGAGGGATCAACTGATCACTGATCAATTTTTTTGAGCAAATCCACAAATCATCAGCCACGCAAAATTATTTTTACTATGCATAGTACAGTCTACTTCAAGAGGGCTTACTCACTGCTCATTGTCTTTAAAACTGTTTAATTCCAAAAACTCAGAAAGTGACAATACACTTCCATCAAGGTCAAGGATTTCAGAAGAATTTAAGTGAGATTTGTAAGATATCCTTAATACTTCCTTTTTAAAAAATAAGGCTATTTTTAAAAATTAGGCTATTTTTAAACCAATTTCAAAAATGTATGCATATACTGAGTACCTACTATGTAATCAATATACATACTTAAAATATATTTTTCTTATTTAGAACCCAAAGCAACCACTTATTAGTCCCACTTTCAGATGAGAAAAATAAGGTTAGGAGAAGCAACTAGCTATCTGGAGACACTGAGGAAAAACTTAACTTCTCCAAGCCCCAGATATTAGCAAATGTACAACAGGGACAAGGACGTCAGTGAAATGAGACGAAATGAGATGAAATGTGCACGGGTTAGCACAACTCCAAACACACAGTAAATAGTCAATAGGTTATTGCTTTTGTTAAAAACCACAGATATTTTAAGGATCAGAGTCAGGATATGAACACCAAATGAATTTCCAAGTCCATGGTTATCCAGCTGTGACCTAAGGTAGTCAAGAAAGATTACTGAGTGTGGAACATCTACAAATTGAGGACAACAGACGATCGCTAGATTTGAGTGGCAATTCCAACACAAAAGGATCTTGCTGAATTTATAAGCAGCAGCTGAGGACTTGCTATTTCAAGACATTCCCTCAAACTGCTATACACGTCTATAGCATCTGGTGAGTCCCCTGCATAGTGTTTGGTAAAGGCTGCCCCTGAAGGAGCCCTAAAACTACTGTCAGCTGCTTAGGACACACTGAAGTATGTGGAGTCAGAGCCAGACAGTGAACAAATGTGACTGAATTAATATATTTCCCCTAGATAACGTTAAGAGAACGCTGATTTATTTGAAATAAATTATACACTGGAAACAACAACAAGTTCATCCATCATAAATGCTCCACTACCCTTCCCTGAGAGCAAGGCAATTTCCATTGTTCAAAATTGCCACAGGACGCCCCAACTTACAGTTTTAATTTTTCCTTGGATCAACTTCTGCAAGTCGTTCATTAACTTTACTCTTTTCTCTTTGTCACAGTCTTTCCTACAAATGAGGAAAGAGGGAGGAAAAACGGTGGAAGAAGTTATTTTAAACATACAGAGCTAAAAACCCTACCAGGGTATGTTCACACAGTTTAGCATGATTTTCTTTCTGAAGGTAGCAAACCCCTGCCACTAAAATTACTATTCCAGAGCAGCCAGACAAAAGTAATTTTCTCAAAGGCAGAAACTCATCTCACAAGGTATAATTTTATGCATCAATCCAAATCTTAACAGCCAGAAACTTCAGAAGTAAAGAAAATAGTAAAACAAGTCTGAGAGACCAAGTACTTTAGTGTCTCAAAACCTAGCTGACAAGAAATTGCCCTTCATTTTCTCAGAAATCTCTCCAGAAGAACGTCAAATGTATTTTAACCTCACACATTTTCATAAACATATCTGATGCCATCGTAAGGATGCCACACATTTCTGCAACGGGCAGATATCCAAGCACTGATGCTTATACCAGGGTGTTATGAGTAGTTGTAAATAACCCAAGCGCTGTGTTATTTATTTTAGGACATTTCACTATTTATAAGGTATACCATTAGTTTTTCTGTCTCAAAAGGATGAATAAAGATGGCGTTAGGTAGGTGTTACCTTCTTAAAATCTCCCAAATCTGCTTTGCTCGAACAACAATGTCATAGTTGGTCTTATCGTTGAGTTGCCTATTCTGTTTCAGTTCTTTCTTCTTCTTTTTGAAGTCATCCCATTTGGGCTTCTTGACTGCTGATTCTAGTTACAGAAATTATTTTCAACAACAATTAACATTCTGAGTGCCATAAACAAATACAAATCAGGTACAAAGGACAATTACTAATCAGGATCAATACCCATTGTGGAATCTAGAAGAAAAAAAATATCACTCCTTATAGACTTGTACTTTACTTCATTTTCTGAGCAGTTCATATATATCAAATTTTGTTAAAACCAATCATTCTCTTAACTGCTCTTTAGTGATTCTTAACAGAATACCTATAAGAAATTAAGGATACTGAAAGGATTGTAAAAGCTTCTGCAACATTTTAAGTATTTTTTTCAACTGTAAAATAACTACTTTAAAAATTAAGAGCCTTGAATTTTAGATATAATCCATTTCCCATGAAACAAAAATTAGTCGAAATTAAAACAGGAAAAACAATTTCAAAAATTCCCTGTTCTGAGTGCTGTTGTATACTGTTATTTAATTCCTACAACAAGCCTGTGAGACGAGCACTATCATTATGTCCCCTTCCTTACTGGGGAAACGAAGGCACCAAGCAGCTAAGTCTTTGTCCAAGTCCATATGACCAACAGGGCTTAGAACCAGGATTCAAATTCAAACCCAGAAACAATCCTTTGCTGTCATAACCCAAATCTCCAGGTTCTCTGTGGAAGTTCTCTACAGCATCTCTAGTGATGATATAAAGGTTTAGTATCTTTCTATTGCTACATTTTTGTCCTCAAAAATCCAAGCAACTTACCAATTGAGCCAATGAGACTAAACAAAGAACAATTTAATAAAGTGGGCATTATTTACGTGAGTATTCTACAGGAAACTCTAACCAATTAGCTAGACCTAAACATTTCCCTTTTTCTAATTCTAAAAACTTGGAAAAATGCAAAAAAATTCCCCTATAAAATCATTACCTAGTCATACCACTAGGGCAAAAAAGCCATTTTGCCCTTTCCCCAGGCATGTATTTAAAGTAAATTATACACTGGAAACAATGACAAGTTCATCGGTCATAAATGCTCCACTACCCTTCACTGACAGTGAGGCAATTTCAATTGTTCTAAGCTTTAAAAATTCAGAATCTGTATGTTAATATTATTATATTTTATCTTCTCATGAAACTAAATATCCTTTAAGAACACAATTCTTGATAATCGTACACTATACTAGTGCAATGTGTTTTATTATTCCCCTATTATTTACTTATTTATTCCATGCCTGGTCATACAGAGGACTATAAGCAATGGAGGGCATATTTATCATTAATACTGGGCCATCCTCTACTTCACAGCAGAGCATCATAACTGATTCCGAGCTAATTTAATTCCACAAATACTTGGGCATCCCAAATAAGCCAAGCTACAAGTATCAGTTTTAGGGTTGGCTAGTATCTAAGTTCTCTCAGTTTCTGGTTAGAAAAAGAGAGAAAATAAAATCAAGAGTTCCATTCTGAAATGTTAGGAAAGTATCTCCCATTGCAAAATGTTAGGATGTTAGGAACATACTTTCTACAGCAAAAAAAAAAAAAGAAAAAAAAAATCAGGGCCGTAGCATGACAGGATCTTAGGGTGAGAATGAATGTGTACGTGTTAAAATGAAGAACTCCAGGGAAAGGAAGGTTTAAGATCTATTGGAGAGGCTAGAAGAGAAACTACGGGGTAGGGGGATGAGGGTGGAAAAAGAGAAAATTAAGAGAAAAGATGGGAACTGAAGCAGGAAAGGATCCTGCAGGCCTATAAGAAACTGAAATTTCCCCTCCTTGCTCTCCCCACCTCCCTGTCTTCAGGCTGCTGCCCCTCCAGTGAGCAGCCCTCAGAGAGAAAAGAACAAGAACTGGGACTAGGGGACTGGACTGAGAAGGCCCTGGGGCTGTGGTTTCAGTTGGCAGCATGCAGTAGTATTACCATGTTTCCCCAATATGAGACACTGGCTTACATTTATTTTTTCTCAAGAAGATACACTAGGGCTTATTTTCAGGGGATGTCTCCGCACTGAAATGCTAGGTCTTATTATGGGGTAGGGCTTATATTTAACAAATGTATAGAAATCTTGCTAGGGCTTATTTTTTGGGTAGGTCTTATTTTCGGGGAAACATGGTAGGACAAGTTGTGTTGGAGAAAAATAGAATGAAAGAACCAGAGAAATTCTCAGCACGTTGCAGAGAAGGTAAAGGTACAAGGTCAGACAATTAAGCTCCCACACTCATCCTAGAAAAAGGGCTGTGACTTCACCGCTATCACTATGGTCACCAGACGGCCAAGGGAGTACTTCAAAAGTGACTGTAGTGATATTCACCCATGAAGTCTGTATTACTTGTTCTAGGATTTTAATAAACTTAATTGTCAGACCTGGACAATGAGCGCTCAGATGGCCATTCCAGAAAGAGAGATCCAAAATTGCTCTGAAGGGTAGACTAGGAATTGGCACCAGCGCATATCTCCCCCAGAGGAGTACCTCAAAGGTGACCATAGTGATATGCAGAGATATGTACCACTTTTTCTAGGACAAGTTCATTAGCTTAATTGTCCGACCTTGTATGTCAGTAGCTGTAGACCAGGGAGGGACAATGCCTAATGGGCATGCTGTACAACGAAGAGCAAAGCTCTGGGTTAGAAATGGTCCACTGAACATTGTGATGAAGAGATCAGCAGTTTGTTTCAATAGACAAATAGGATCCCTAACAACACTGCCAATCAGTGAGCAACTTGTCCTGAACCAATTAAAATCAAATCTGCCGTTTATACACTGTAACTTCTCTGGGACTGCTACCAGATCTGAGCCATCTGTGGGTTGATTATATCAGACTTGCCTAGGCTCTGTGAGGGGAGGGTCTATATAAGTCTCTTGTTCACTAAGATCTTCTCAGTCAAGGCTGATGCTTAACTGGGACACACTGGTCCTTTAAGGCTGATTTCTGTGATTATTAGATGGGGCCTAGATCCTTACTGATTCTTTTTCTTTCTTTTTTTCCCCCTAGTTTGAGGCACAATGCATAGATAACTCAAACCTTTGTTCAAAAATGAATTGATAAATTAAACTTAGCCTACAAAAAGGAATGTTTTCTTGAGGCTCCACTGTATGAAGACTACAATTTAGCTTAACTCCATGGCTAAGGCAATTTAGAAAGGGTCTAAGAAATAAGGAGTTGTAAACACTAAAGGGAAATTTTGACCAGAAAAGATGCTATGTTGTTTATTCAAGCTTATCTACCTTTCCCTCCTCTCATTCCAAAACGTTCCCTGTCAAAGAACAAGAATGGGAGGTCTCCAATTCATTTCCAGCGGCCCTGTGCATAATGGTTCAGGCACTAGCTCAGTAGGAAAGGCTGCTGCAGAGACTATGCTCAAGAAATCAGAACTTACCATCACTTTTACCATCTGGCTGGAATTTTCTCTTCTTGCTGAATTTATTTGCTGGCTGGAATTTGTTCTTTGGTGCTTTGTCTCCTTGTTGCTTATTCTTGAACTGCTTCATACCCTTTTTGCCAGGAGGTTTTGTGGTACTTTTCTCAAAGTTCTTAGATGTAACTTTAGATCCACCTTCTTTAGCCCCTTTTCTTGGGAATGTCCTTGAAAATCCAGAGTCTAGTGACAAGGATAAATAATTATTGTTTCAAAGATTCTGGACCCAGATCTCTTTTATCCACTAGATTATATTCATTATAGAAAACCATACACTTTTTAGTGAAACACACTTTCTTTACTATCAAATATGCAACACTTACCCTTTTGAATAAAGTACAATTTAAACAATCAAAAAATTTAAAAACTTTTTCCCTGATTATAAAACTTTAATACAGGCTTACGATACAAAACCCAGAGAGTAATGTATAATAACAACTATCCATAATTCTACCACCTAGAGATAACCACTGTTGTTTCTCTAATTGTAAACCTATAGTAGAGATGAGATATTACTTATATATCTTTGTATTCTGCTTAATGACTCCATATCATTAGTCCTTATACATAATTTTCAATGGGTCTATAACATGATAGGAGTCTAAGAATAAAATGAACACTTTAGATATTTAGAAAGTATATCATAAGGACAAAATAAAAATGTTTACTTCAAAATTTCTACTTTGGAGAAGACAATTGTAAAGCCTATAATGAAATTATTTGGTAAAAACCTTCTTTGATCAACAAAGCTTGCAAACTATCTAACAAATGAGATGCGCACAATACCAGCCATGCCTTAACAACTATTGAAAGAAAAAAAGAAACTGCTTCAGAAAACATTTATTTATTTTGAAATACTGACTTTTTTATTTTGAAATACTGACACCTGATGGAATTATAAAGACATCACCATTATAAATGCGGAAGCTAAAAGTAACTGGTTTATCAGCAGTTTGTATTAACTGGCCCTGATTTATTAAACATAGAAACAAAACATATGGCACATTATAATAAACGACACCGCAGGATCAATGGCTTTCATTCCTCAATTATTCCGGTAATTTCTTTAAATGTCTAAATTTCATAAGTAACACACTAACGCATACACAATAGGTTTCAGACAGTTAAGCTCCCACACTCATCCCAGAAAAGGTGCTGCGACTTCACTGCTGACTTTCACCTACTGTGTACGTGTTAGTATGGTCCTCATGAAACACGGATTTCCTCCTACTTTTTTAATCCTAACCCTACCTCGTGAACACAGATTAAAATACGCTACGTACATAGCTCCCACCCTTACAATGGCCAATCAACCACATGGAAAACATGTTTTGGCTCGGCTATCTTACCATTGTTTTTATGAAATTTGTTTTTTTCTTGCGATGCCTTTGTATTCTTTCCTGTGAATTTTTTTTTCCCTTTGACTTCCATTGTGGCAACTCTGGAAAACAAAAACCAAACCAAAAGGAATCAATGAATTTCTCATCAAGTAAGTCACTGAGTAGTCACTGCCATATTTGGTCCTTGCGCTCACAGATGAGGTGAAAATCACCTGGCACAGCAAGCACGACCCCACAGTTCCCGCAATTACACAACCTGAAAGTGAAGACGATACCAATACAACACCTAAGAAGACGCACACATGCTGGCCAGGACGCGATATATCTAGAGGCAACGCTTTAGCAATGATGAAAAGCTGACTGTTACTGGCGTTAAATATAAGTGTTTCTGTTCTGTACCCTGGAAAGACTCGGTGATGAGTAACTGTCAATACTACTTACTGTTTGATTTCTTGGTTTCTATCCTTAAAAGCCAGGAATGAAGAGTAGGCTGTATTTAACATATGTTACATTTTAATGAAAGAAAATAAAGGATTCTCTGAAAGATCCCTCTACAACACAACCAGGTAAAACAAAGATTACCCTCTATTGTGATTGTTTTAGAGACAGCTAGGTAACCTGCCGTGAATTCCAAAATAAGATTATGCTAAAACACCACCACCGTGTTACTTGTATTTAACCCACACTCATTTTGAGCCCCGGGCCTGGGGGCCTCGTGAAGTGGTGAAACTTCTGCTCACTGTTTCGCCGTCAACCTGCTGTCTCCTCCACCTCCTGCCACCCTGCTCCTGCCAACCCACCCAAACACACCAGGTACACTGGACTATGTTCTCTGATACCATAACTTCCAATTGCACATTTCCCCTTGAATGTTTACCTAGCTGCTCTTTGAACGAAATCAGTGCGGTGGTATGTGGCGACGTGACCTTGGTGCACGTACTCAGGGGGTATGAATCAGAAGTTGTCATCCAGGCTCACCCAAGTAAAAACTTGTGGAATAACAAAAGACTCAATTCTAAGAAACAAATTCAGTAAGTATGTTGTAAGTCACATACGACTCATGTGGCACACACCTGATTCTAATGCCACGTGATTTGCATATAACTCACACACAGAAAATAACAATTTTTTCCTTAAGTTAGAAAAGATCATTTTGTTTTCAAAATTTTAACTCTGACTTTAACTCTTTAATTTTTGTAGTAAAACACCATGGTCCCATGAAATTTTTTTTTCTAGTGTGGCAATGTGTTACTATTTCAATTAAAAAATTTGCCAAAGAGGTCACTTGTAGGGTATTGAGACCCCAAGGTGTACAGGGCAAACAAGACATAATCCCTCATCTTTCCCAGGCCCTGGAAAGAAGCAGAATAGATCAAGGGCAAAGTGATTTGGCTCATTTTTCACTCTTCAAAGTTATACGTTTAATTCACTTCTAAAGCTGTCGCCAAAGAAACATGTTTGGAATCTTTAGACACGATCAGATATTTCTAGATTAGAATTTTTCGTTTAGGAAGTAATTTACCAGGATGCTAATAGGATAAAATAAGGGTTCTGGAATACAGTATATTTGGGAAACAGTAAGTTAAATCTGCCGATAAGGAAAGATTTTTCAAATTCTTTAATTTGCTAACATAACTATCCATATTGGCCAAGCAAAGGCTGAAGTATGCAGGATTTTCCAACCTTAGTTGAGCCACTTTCTCCTGAAACATCTCAAAGAAATGGCAAGATTCCAAGAAACATTCTGGAAAATGCTGTTCAAAGTCAGACTTTACTAGTATGATTCTGAAAAAAAAGGGGGGGCCTTGAATAACTCAGCTTCTTTGGTGCATGTAGGACTGACTGACTGACTGTAGAGTCACTTTATCACTTGGTTATAGCCACTATAACCATATATGAATCTCTTAGTTCTTCTATAGCATGTATTATGCTTTTCTATAAACCCATTCATGTACATGTTTTCTCCATGTATTTAATTCTTACTTGAAATAATTTTAGTTTTACAGAAGAGTGAAAAGATATACAGTGAGTCCCTATATACCCTTTGCCCAGCTTGCCCTAATGTTAAGTACAGTACTCTTAGTTTTTTCATGAATGTCCTCTTTCTCTCCCAGGATACACTGAACTTAGCCATCTCCTTTCTATTTTGCAGAATATACGGCATTTGGGGTTTGCCTGGTGCTTTCTCATGATTAGACAGGGGTTATGAGAGCTCTTTTGAAGAATAACAGAAGGTCCATGATACCAACATCACTTGGTCAAAGTAGTGTTTGCCAGGGTTTCTCTGCTGGAAAGTTACCATTTTCCCTATCCTTACTCTGTTAGAAGCAAGCCACTAAGTCACTAAGTCCAGCCCAAACTCAAAGAGAGGAAAATTAAGCTTTACTTTCCAGAGGAAGGGTACCAAAGCATTCAGATCACAAGCAACTAATAAACATTTAGATCTTCTGTGACCAGGGTATCTTCTTAAAGTTTAGCTGCCTCATTTTGGCATTCTTCAGTGCATCTTGCTTGCAGCAATTACTATGAGGTTTGGTGATTTCCTATTTCCTTTATTAGTTTTACCTTTGGGGAAGATTTATCCCATCTTTTCCAACTATTTATTTGCATCAGTATGGGTCTCAGATATTTATTTCACTCCTTGGGTTGTAATCTAATAACATCATTATTTGTTATTCAAATAGATGTTTAAATAGTTCCAGCTTTGGCCAGTGGAAAGTTTTTCAGGAGGCTTCTGTGTCCTGGCACTTGCTCCAAGTTCATCACACATTATCCTTTCAAGGATATTTCTCCAAGGAACATTGGGTGCTTTAACTGAAAATCATATTTAAAAACCAAGATCTAATGGAAAAGCAGGCACCCCATGTACTCAATACTAATTTGAAACTAGCAGATGAACACCTATAGGCCCACACAAGAGAAAAATACATTAAATTCAAGAAGCAGGGAAGGGAAGGGGCTTGGGGACTCAGTAAGCTCCCATTGTATCTCCTAACAGATACAATGTAGTGGTATATGGCACACCACTTGGGTGAAGGACTCAACTACAACTGGCATGTTACTGAACAAATACAAACAATGTAACCTAATCATATACATCCTTAAACTGAAATTAAAAAAAGAAACAAACAAGATCTAAATGCTAGGTGTGCTGTTGTCACTAAGGTGTCACTGCTCCTAGATCCTTTCGGCAGATAGATCTAGGAATACACATATGTATGTTAACCTGTGCATACACACATACCTGTATTTATTTCTATATTATTAAAATAACATTAAATTCATTTAATTATCCCTAACTGTAATCAAGCACCACAGGTTTTATTCTAGTTATCCCCTCTTGCTCAGTTGCAACTTCTGTCTCTGACAGTGAGAAACTCACTTCCCACTATCTACAATTTATTTACATACTTGTTCAATCCTACTATAAATATGGAAGATTTCAGAACTGCTAACCTTCAATTATGACAAACAAATTTGCCAATTACAGTACAGTGTTTATGCACTGTTGTTTTTTTGTCTTTAGCCTCAAAGTATGCATTCAAAATACTGTTTTCCAAAGTTACTTAGGTCAACTCCTTCCCCTACTCTCACTTTTTCAGTGAAGTTATATGTTTATAGTACAGTCTGACATTTTAGTCTGCATTCCATCCACAGAAATGCTGGTTGATTTGTTAAATCTGCATATAGTCAAGTTCCCTCTTTTTGGTGTACAATTTTATTGGTCTTGACAAATAGATAGTCATGTATCCACTACCAGAGTATCTTACAGAAAATTTCCACCACTCTAAAAAGTCCTCTCTGCAGCCGCTGTGCAATCAACTCTTTCCGCCTTCCCAGGTTGCCACTGATCTGTTTTTCATTCCAGTTTTGCCTTTTCCAGAATGTCATATAAATGGAATCACACGGTATGTAACCTTTTGAGTCTTGCTTATTTCACTAAGCAAAATCCATTTTGTTTGAGGATTGTGTCTGTCCCTTCATAACCAATCATTACATTCCAAAGTATCTTTCAGAATTATTCTCTCTTTCTTCCCTCCATTACCCCATTCAGGCTCTCGTTACTTCTTGCACTGTTTTGCCTTTAGATTAAATCTGTCAATCTGCTGCAATCCACTCTCTGCTGCCTGGTTAAACTTCTACTACCACACCTATGTCATGGCATTTCCATGCTCTAATAGTTTCAAAACCTTCCCACAGCCTACATAAATAATTCAAACTCAGATTGGCATTCATAGCCATTCAAAATTTGGCCCTCATTAGCTCTTGCAAACATACCACAGGGGAGCCAATCTTACTTTCTTAAAATTCTCTTTCAGGCTCAAAACTTTAAAGCCACTCTCTCTAACAATGCAATTCCTACACATTCTTCAAATCCAGCTGAAGTGACATTTTCTTACAATTTCTCCCCCATATACATTCCCATCTTTCCCAAATGATGCTTCTTTTTCTTCTAATGACCCATTTTTATATCCGTCTTAAAATATAACACTTAGAAGTTTATATTGTTATTCATGGATAGTTCCACCTTTATTCTATAAAAATTTATTGAATACCTATAACCTCTGTGCTAGAAAGCTACTGAGTTGAAAAGTATGAAAGAAAAAAAGGTGTGCTCTGACAAGCAACCAGGAAATTAAAACACAATGTAATTGTCAGAAGTACAGTACAACCACCACAGTTGACCACTTCCTTAAATTGACCTAATTTTCATTGACCAGACATGCACCACATGTACTATCAGTACAGGAGGCCTAGTTCCTTACGTTGGCCACATCCATATTCTGACCACTTTGTTACAGTCCCTTGCGCAATCAACTTACAGAGGTTCTATGTATATACCAAGTGTTAAGGGAGCTAGTAGCTGAGAACCGAGCTCTGCCTTATGAAAGGAAATATTCCCAAAGGTAGAGGGCCATGGGATCGATCCTTCATTACCTCCCTCAGCAAGCTGAGAACCAAGCTATAAAAGCAGTAAATATTCAATACTCAATCTCTAAATACTGGCATTCCTCAAGTCTTTGTCCTAGTGGACTTCTCTTCTTTCTCCATACTTCTGCCTAGGTGATGTCATTCTATTTTCTGGCTTTCTTCTATGCTGAATATTCCCAAATTATTTCACCATTACAAACTTTTCTCCTGGGATCCAGATCTGTGTATCTAACTGCTTACTCAACACCTCTAATTACATGTCTAACGGGCACCATACACTTAATACGTCCAAAACATAATTCTCTATATTCTCTCTGCAAACCACTCCCAAACAACGCTATCCCATTTACTTTCCCCTGCCCTACTGTTCTCCATTTCAGACAATGACACATCATCTACTCGACTGCTCAAGCAAGAAACCTGAGAATTACCCTTGACACTCTTTCTCATTTGTGACATTAGATTTCTTGAATACCCCTTAGAAACACTTCTAACTCTCCAATTCCAACACCACTATCGCCACCCTAATGCAATCATCAATGGTTTTCTTACTAAACTTCCAAATTAAAGACATTTTTCTAAAGAGAACCAAGGACTATCAAGTTTTTCCGTTACTTATATGCCTTCAGTGTTTATAAAGACATGGGAATATTTGCCTATTGTATAGAAATCAAAAAATTCTTTAGCATGGGCTTCAAGATCTTACAGAACCTTGGGTCACTCTATCCCTTTAACTTGACCTTGTACCACTAAACACACAGCTTCCACCTCAAGATTTATTGCCTCTGCTTAAAGTAATGCAGGGGCTTCCAGATTTCAGGGTTGTCTCACGCC